AACAATTTTATTTCTTATCACTGTATTGTGGTTCCGTGACAAGAACAGTTATACTTGCCAATTATTTTGCTGCACACGATTTTGACTGGGTTGGATATGTGATATTCTGTGGGTAGTTGGACTTGTATAAAGTATCCAAGATGCCTTCACGATAGAACTGGCATCTTGGCAAAGAAAACTGGAAAGCTGAATCTAACTCTCCTTGCCTGCAGTCAGAATGTCTCCACAAACTACATGTATTTTTTGAGTAGGAAAGTAAACTGCTCTCTCATGAACTAAGTTCCAGGAATGTTTTTCGAGAAATAGAAATTGCAAGCTGTCAGAATCTCAACGATAGGGCAAGAACATTGGTGCATTGTCCATCATGCCATATTCTGTTAGTCAGACATGGCAGAACCCACTCAGATTAAAGGAAAGATGACAGTGAACACAGCACTTGATGGGAGGGTATCAAAACACGTGCTGCTCTGTAACCTTTACCTGCTGTAGTCTTTGTGACAGAGGGACCTCCTTTCATTATTTGCATGAATATGTTTTTTGAGATTAGATAGAAAAAACATTTTATATTTTAAGCAACTACAGTTGTATATTTCATATACAACTTATATAATGAATCATTATATAATGAATGAATCATTTTGTTATATAATGAATCATTAATGAATCATTTTGTTAAATGGCATCTCTTTGATGCATGACTCTTAAGTAATATTGCCTAACTAAATATCAAAATCAGAGCTAGGCTATCTTAATTGAATGTAACATATTTTCATATGTCCAACTCAGATCACTTTGCTCAGTCATTTTGTAGACTATTACTTCTCCAAAAATCTCACTATTTTTCCTCAAATTAAAATACACACAGATACACTCACACACAAACACACACACACATATATGCATGTACATATACATAATTTTTCATAGGGTGGGCATTTTTTCTGTTTGAATATAACAGAGATGTTAATTTTATTTCCTCCAATTTCTTGACAATAATACTGATAAAACTTCACTATTGATAATGTTCTCAATGTTATTAATGGAATTATGTTGAAATAAAGTGCTAAGAAACTTAATAAAAATGTAATATATGTTAATGCCTAAGATATTTGATTACACTGAGTGTTAAACTTCTCTAAAAGTGTTAATAACTGGTATTTTTTATTTTCTGTTTAGTCACATCTTTTTGATGCTGTCTTAGACTATTGCAAATTTATATACACATAAACTGTTAAGACTCATGGGAGTACCGGTAACATGATGGAGAGAAAATGTCTTACACTGACACAAAAGCAAGAGATAAGAAAGGGCAAAGTTTACAGACATTCTCAGTTCTATTTCTATTGCAAGAATGAAGAATTGAGGTATTATGGTGATATAGAAAAGGTATATTTGATGCAATTTGAAGAAATACTAATAACAGAAGAATAAACTGTAGTTCAGAAGAAAGGTAAAAAAGAAAAGGGTTACAGGCTTTTAGCAACACTAGTGAGAAACAATCATTTCTTTTGATTGCTTGACATTCCTGAAAAGAATATCATTCATACAATTTTATGCTAGCAACTGAGCATCTATTTTTATGATAAAGGCATTTTCCAAGCAATCTGAACTTTCATACTTAGAGAAAAACTATTGTATTTTAATAAAAGGTATTTCCCAAGATAAAAGAAATATTTAACTTATCCTTTATAAACTTGTTTTAAAGCCAGTCCCAGAAATTAGGCATACTTTTGAGACCTAGCTAAAAGTGAGAAATAACATTGATATGACAGTAATAACATTTACTCAAATGGTATTTATGTCTTCATAATATTCCTGTCAGGAACAAAGATATGGATGTGAAAACTGAGGCACTCAATTGTAGTAGTAAGTCTAAAACTATCTTGCATTTAAAAGTGAAATTCTAATAAAAAAGACTAAGACTGACAAATTAAACTATTACTAAAAAAACACAAAGCATGATGATGTTGTTGAATGTGGAGAAAGGGCTATTAAATTCAATAGCCTAAGACTGATCTATGTTTTAAAAATTGTGGTTCCTAAAGGGAAATTATTTATATGTGTTAACCTTATTAAAACAAGGGCTATTTATTGTACTTTCTTTTTATTAGATTTTTTTGGTAATAATTGCTCACCTATGTGATAGAGACAGATATCATAGAACTACAAAAGGAAATAGTTTGTGAACTGTGGGAAATTTATATAATAAAATTTGAAATTACAACATCCTTTCACATCATAAAATACATTTCATTAAGAACATCTTCTAACATAAAAGTAGAAACAATATAAAATGAGTCATCACATACACATCATCTAGATTTAAGAATTACTCAGGTTTTTGGATGCTGTAGCTTACATTTTCTTTCCACTGAAGAAAAGAAACATAAGATAGCAGGGCTCCCTGGTGGCGCAAGGGGTTAAGACACAACCTATGAAACTGCAGCATAAGTTCGATCCCCAGTCAGGGAGCTACTCACATGGCGCAGCAGACCTCTCCTGACTCGCCTGCTTCTCCCCTCAGCAGTGTATTCCAGTCAGTCCGCCTGTTCTGTTCCCCATTCTGTCTCTGGTGAATCCTCTCACCCCCTACACCTCTAGCCTGTACCCCAGTTCTGGTATGCATAATAAAATAAATCTTAAAAAAAATAAATAGAAGATAACATGACATTTTATCTCTAAATACTTCAATATAAAACTGAAAAGTAAGGGAATTTTCTTGCATAAATAAAATATTATTATCCGGGTGAAATTACAGTGATTCTTCTTCATCAAATAATGATTAACTATAGTAAAATATCTGTAATTGACCCACAGAGATTTTAAAGATTTATTTATTTATTTATTTATTTATTTATTTATTTATTTATTTATATAAGCACTGGGTACAGTCAGAAGCGCGGGAGGGTGAGAGAATTCACCAGAGTCAGAGCGGGGAGCAGAGCAGGCAGACGGACGAAATACACTGCTGAGGGGAGCAGCGGGCGGCAGGAGAGGTCTGTGCGCCATGTGGGACCCTCCTCTGGTGGCTGGGGAGCAGCCAGGGATTGAACTGGTGCTGCAGAGGCTGCAGGCAGTTTCGCAACCCAGTGCTCAACCGCTGCGCCACCGGGGAGGCCCGAGATTTTAATAGTTCATTATTTTTGATGATAAAGGAAACCTATATATTGGATTAGTTGTTCTGCCTCTTAAATAACTTTCACTTTTATTTAATTTGTTCATTGTTGGAAAAAGTATAGTGAAAAGGGCACCTTTATTATCTACTGATAAGAATATACAGTGGTACAGACATTATGGAAAACAGTATAGTGGTTCCTCAAAAATTAAAAAAAAAAATAGAATCAGGATATGACCTAGAATTCCCACTTCTGGGTATTTATTTAAATGAAAATCAAGATATTGAACAGATATCTGCACTCCTATGTATACACACACACACACACAAACACACACACTCTCATAGATACATACAATGGTATACTGTTCAATGTATTAAAAAAATGGTAAGCAAGTAAGATGACATTAACTTGATTGTGCTAATCATTTCAAAATGTATACATATATAAAATTAAATCACCATGTTGTTCACCACTAATATATACAATGCATTTGTCAGTTATACCTTATTCTTGCCAATACAGGAAATAGTTTAGTTGTTTCAGTTACTGTAAGTACATAGATCTCTGCTACGGTAGACTTATTCCAGAAAATTTCAATTTTGTATGTCTGTATTTAGCCCCACATCACATTTCTAAGCTTCATAAGAGATTACAAAGACCACATATAAAGAATATGCTCCCATATTCTGATTGGTCAAAAATTGAATGAATGTTAAAGAAATAGATATAATCTCTGTGGATCGTATAGGGAGATAAAGAGCTAAAAGTTGCTTGTTTTGTGTTTTTATGTATTTCATTATGTCATTAGGTCTATGAAGTTTTTTTAACATATTATAAACCTTTGGGGACAAATCAATGAAGATGGAAAACTAAATACCCAGAGCTGGAAACTACAAGTAAAAGAACTGGGATGCAGTGAAAGTTGAGAGTAGGGTGAATGGGTCAATATTTTTTAGCAGCATCAAAGAAAAGAAATTGATTATGAATATTGTAATGATGCTAGATATAGATGTGTGTGTTAGTATGATTGTACATTCATGCTTCCTCATATCTGTTTGTTTATGTATTATATGAGATTTACTGCTTTTGAACACATTATTCCAGTGACATTGAAACTGGAAGAATACAGTTGCTAAATGGTTTTATTTTTAAAACCCCAGAAGAAAAATTCAGATAGCGTAAAAATTACTCACTAGGTGGGCGAATGTTCAATTTTGTGAAACCAATCAATTACTTAAGTACATTTGTACATTATTTACATAAGTTGTCATTCAGGAAATGCTGCTTTGTTTACTGAAATAATTTGTTTAATGTGCAGGAATGAACATTGTAATTCAATAATTGTTTAATGTCTCATAACATTCGTTCCTAAGAAATCATCTGAAACGCTAAACACTGACATACAAGGGAAAAAAAAACTCCATTTCCAATTTGTATTTGAGTCTGTGAAGTGTGAATATGCTTTACTTTTATGCCTACTTCTTTTGAAAAGTTGAAATTTACAAATCAATATTATCCTTCCCTAGGTAATTTATAAGTAAAATGTATTATTAAATTAACTCAAATATTTAAAAGGCACACTGTGTATAAATTACCAAATTCTCTCATAAATATTTTCTCATATTTTTCAATACATACACTAAGTATAAATTTATAAAAAGAAAACAATAAACCCTAAAGCATTTTTAGTGAATCTACATTATTAGTTCTCACCTTACGTATTCCTCAGGAAAAAATATGTATATAAAGTTCTATAGTAATTAACTGCAATACTAACATCAAATATGACATTCCAGAAAACATAGAAAAAGCAATGAAATGATCTATTTGAATCAGAACATCTTGAAGTGTATTTACTGAAGTTTTTTTTTTTTTTTTTACCTGTTATGATGTGAGAGTTTTTGAGACACCTTTTTTCTGGGACTTTGTCTTCTTAAGTAGCTATTTCTCCTATTTTCCTATATATTGACAATATTTCCATCAGATCACTTTCCTCATTGTTAGAATGATTTTTAGGTATTTTCTTCATTGAACTAGGAAAAAAGATTTATATGTTATTTTAATTAGTAACACAGAAAGATAACATAGTTGGTCAATAAATTTATTTGAATGACTAAAGTTAAGAAATAAATATTTTAGCATCTTTTTACTTACAGAAGTGGTTATTTTGCTCTCATATATTCTATTTACTAAATTATTCAAAAGGCTCAATTTTCCACAATTATATTTTAAAATTAAACACTGTATAGTATTTTAATAAGCTTTATACTTCACCATAAAGTAGTGTTGCTACTTAATTGTATCAAATATTGTGTTTTTGGACAGTAGCAATTAGTTTAAAATTTTCTTCAAGCCAGAGTTTGTTTCAAAATTATTCTATTCATGTGGTCAGATGGTTTACAAAGATAGGAGAGGCTTATGATAACATTAAATACAAATCGTTTAAAATATAATGGAAAACAGGATAATTTTCTACTTACAGGTCATAAAAATCTGAGAATAATCAACAGGTTTTATCACCGTGTCTCTTTCAGCGTCGGTGAGTGGGTTTCTGGTGCTTGGATACGCCACATTAACAGGTAATAAATGCAGAAAATGCCACCACATGAAAGGATTAGAAATTGTCTGTATCTTTTATTTTATTTTATTATTATTATTTTTTATTTATACAATAGCTGGGGTACAGGCTAGAGGCACGAGGGTGAGAGGATTCACCAGACAGAGTGGGGAGCAGAACAGGCAGACCGACCGAAAGCACTGCTGAGGGGAGCAGCGGGTGCGACAGGAGAGGTCTGCTGCGCTATTTGGGAATCTCCCTGGCTGGCCGGGAATCCAACCCATGCTGCAGAAGCTGTGGACAGCTTCACAGATTTTGGCTCAACCCTCTGTGCCACCGGGGAGGCCTCTGTATCTTTTTGTTTAAACTGGAATCTTTGTGCACCATTTCCTTTGTGAACAGTACATGAGGAAGAACTCCACTTATATTTACATTAATTCTTATACTGAAATATACTTTGCATATAGTAATTATTCAATCTTTTGGTATCCTATTTACTAGTAGAGACAGAGAGTATAACTCACTTTATGTAACAGAAGACTAATCCTGTGACATAGTAAATACAATGTATGTGAACACACCCAGACAGTGTGGGAAGTCAAATCTAAATTCCACCTTCCAACTCCTGATTTTTTTCTCTTTCTCCATACTACTGTTAGAAATTGTTACAGGAATCTAGAAAACTTAAATAAGGGACCAGGAAAATGAATAACTATAAGAAAGTGAAAATCAAAATCAACAAAAAACTGTGAACCAGAGACACTTTTTGGGGGGTGGGGGGTGGGAGGGGAGGGATTGGTGTCAGAATGGGGGGTTGCAATTGTATTGTATGGGGAATATAAAAATAAAATTTATTATTATAAAAAAAAAAGAAATTGTTACAGACTGCAAAAGTAAGTTTGTAACAAAGGTTTTCAATATATAATATGAGAAAAAACTTTCAAGTATATCATAAATTTATCACATTGATTTTATTTTTAATGTGTCAACCCCTTTCATGTTTGAATATATTTTACATACTGTATTGTTTAAATTTAACTACACATATGCATTAAAAATCATATATTTTATATAATATTTTTGAACCCTTTCTTGCTAAAAGCAATTTTTAAAAAGAAATTGTGATATAAATGATTTTTATTTATTTTTCCCAAAGAAATATAAGGGCTAGAGTTTCTTGAGAGCAAACATCAGTACATTTTAAGAGAGCAATCATGATATCCATATTTCAAAAAAGTTAAATGAAAATGACAAATTGAATATGAAAACCTCTTCTCTATGATTTTCAAAAGTAAACTTATAATTAAATTTCATGGGATTTGAGATAAATTTATTTGAAATAACTTTCCTGTATATCTCAAAAGGCTTTTTAAAAGATATTATAAAAAGAGAAAGTGAGTATTTGAGACTATTTATATATGGACAGAAGAAATACAATATAAATATACATTATCATTTTTAAATATGAGAATGTACAGTTTGATATTATTTCTTATACTTAAATTGCTTTCCTTGGCCAGCTCAGAAAATCTTAACTACAAATGAAAATGAAAGTGATATGAAAGGATATAATCTATATTCAGCTCTTTAATCAACTGAAGCAGATGCACATTTTATATAAATGCACCTTATCGGAAAATGTTAGTTTCAAATTATGGACTAAAATACCAAAAGTAGGATTATAAGCATATTTTACTGTAACCATAAATCAGAGGTGAGTCTCAAGGAAGCATAAAAAACTTATGAAATAAACTACTAGAGACACTAAGCATTGTAATAATGTCATATTATGAGATCACTTGGTAATGTCTAATATAAGTCTGTTATTTGTGTCTGTAAATTAAACACCTCAAAAATATTTCAGGTTCAGTTCCAGACATCTGCAGTAAAACAAATACAAGAATAAAAGGAGTCACACATTTTTTTTTGGTTCCTCATACATTTGTAATTTATGCTTATACCATACTGAACTTTAGTAACTATACAATAGCATTTTGTCAAAAAAATGTCCATTCTTGTATGAAAAATACTTTATTTAAAAAATGTTATCCATCTGGGGCCTCCCTGGTGGCGCAAGTGGTTAAGCACCGCACTGTGAAGCAATTCACAGCCTCTGCAGCAAGAATTAGATCCTTGGCCAGGCAGAGAGCAACCCACATGGCAAAGCAGACCTCTAATGTCTTGCCCCCTGCTCTCCTCGGCAGTGTATTTCAGTCAGTCTGCCTGTTCTGTTTCTCGCTCGGTCTCTGATGAATCTTCTCACCCCCTGCATCTCTGGCCTATACCCCAGCTCTTGTATACAAAAATAAATAAATCTTTTAAAAAAATGTTATCCATCATCTGGGTTTTCAGTGAGTTGTAATCTCTCTGCTAGTGGAGGTTGTTGCTTCAGAACTAATGGCTGACTGATCAGGGTGGTAATTGCTTTATGGTGAGGTGGTAAAAAAGACAACAATGAAGTCTGCCACATCGATTGACTCTTCCTTTTACCAAAGGAAAGAGTAACCTTTGATGTTGCTTGATAGCATTTTCCCACAGTAGCATTTTATTTTTCAAAATTGGAGTCAGTTCTTTCAAACCCTGCAACTACTTTAACAACTAAGTCTATGTAATATATTTCATTCATTTCAAAGATATTAATAGCATCTTAACAAGATGTCATCTCAAGAATCCTTTTTGCCTATCCATAAGCAGTAACTCCTGTTCAAACCTTATTATGAGATTGCTGCAATTCAATCATGCATACAGGCACTGGTTCTAATTCTAGCGTTCTTGCTATTTCCACCACATCTGTAGTTATATCCGCTACTGAAAACCTGAAATTCTAGAAGTTATTCATGAGTTTTGGAATCAACACCTCCCTGTTAATGTCCATACTGATATTTTGACCTCCTCCCATGAATCATGAGTGTTCTTAATGTCATGTCATGGCTCTTAGCATGGGCATAAGTTTCCAGAAACTTTTCAATTGACTCTCTAAGATTTACCAGAGGAATTATTATGTATGATAGCTATAACCTTATGAAATGCAGTTGTTTAAATAGTAAGACTTAAAAGTTAAAGCTGTTCTCTTATCTAGTAACTACAGAATGATTCTTGTGCTAACAGGCATGGAAATCACATTAATCTCTTTGTACAGCCTCATCAGAGGTCTTAGGTGACCAGGTACATTGCTGATGAGCAGTCATATTTTGAAAGAAATCTTTTTACTGAGGAATAGGTCTCAACTGTCAGCTTAAAATATTCAGTGAACAATGTTGTAATTAGCTGTACTGTCACTCAGGATTCATTATTCCACTGACAGAGCAGAGGCAGAGTCAATTTAATATAAGTAATATAGGTCCTCAGGTTTTTGGAATGATAGTTGAGTATTGGCCACAACTTAAAGTCAGCAGCTGCATTAGCCCCTAATAAGAGGGCAGCCCATAATTTGAAATTCAGAAGCTAGGCATGAACTTCTCCTCTCTAGCTATGAAAGAGAGTAAGATGGCCAATCCTGCCAATACAAGTCTTCTTTTTTTTTCCTAGCCACTTTTACCAATTGTCTCAGCTATAACTTCTGGATAACTTGCTGCAATTTCTAAATCAGCATTTGCTGTTTCACTGTGTTATGTCTCTGTTATGGAGATGGTTTCTTCCCTCAAACCTCATGAACCAACTCAGCTAGATTCATACCTTTCTTTTGGAGCGTCCTTATCTTCCTCAGTCTTTGTAGAACTGAATAAAATAAAGACCTTTCTCTGGATTAAGTTTAAGGGAAATTTGTCACTGACTTGATCTCCTGTCCACATCAATAAAACTTTCATCATATTAGCAATAAGGTGGTTTCTTTTTCTCATCATTTGCATGTTCACTGGAGTAGCACTTTCAATTTCCTTCAAGAACTTTTTTTTTTTTTTTTTTTTTTTTTTGCATTATGAGGTGGCTAACCAGGACAACAGGCTTAGCTTTCAATTTGTCTTAACTTTCAGTATGCCTTCCTCAGTAGGCTTAATCATTCCCAGCTTTTAATTTAAAGTGAGAGATATATAATTTTGCCATTCATTTGAATACTCAGATGTCTCATAGGGCTTTTAATTAGCCTGGTTTTGGCATTGTATATCTCAGAGTCTAGGAAGGTCAAGAGAGAGGAAGACAAATGGGGAATGACTGCCCAGTGGGCAAGTCAGAACATGCATGACAGTTATCAACTAAGTTCATGATCTTACATGGGTGTGGTTTGGGGATACTCAAAATAATTACAATAGTAATACAAATTATCACTGATCACAAGTCACCATTGTAGATATAATAACTATGACACAAGACACAAGTGAGCACTAGCTGTTGGAAAATAATGCCAGTAGACTTGTTTGACACAGGGTTGCCACAAACCTTTAACTTGTAGAAACAGCAATATCTGCAAAACTCAATAAAGCAACTTGCATTAAATTAGGTATCCCTACCACAAGAAAAATCTAATATAGATATTAAATGCCATGATTTTATCTTAGGATTTTTTTTAAAGATTTATTTATACAAGAACTGGGGTACCGGTCAGAGGTGCGGGACGATGAGAGAATTCACCAGAGACAGAGTGGGGAGCAGAACAGGCAGAGTGACCAGACACTGCTGAGGGGAGCAGTGGGCAAGGCAGGAGAGGTCTGCTGTGTCATGTGGGTTTCTCCCTGGCAGGCAGGCCGGGAATCAAACCGGCGCTGCAGAGGCTGTGGACAGCTTCACAGTGTGGCGCTCAACCTGCTGTGCCACCAGGGAGGTCCTTATCTTAGGATTTTTAATCCCATTTTCTGATGAAATAACTAACTCCTAAATATATAAGGAAAATATTTTCAATAAGTATCTAAATGCTTCTTTTGTTGATTGACATTTTGCAAGTCATATAATATATATTATCTATAATATGATTGTTTTTACTTTATATTTAACTAAACACTTTACAATAAGTGAAGAAAATAATTTCTTAAGTATATTCACAATATTAAACATTTGGTTGATAAATATTTTCAAAAACTCATAATGGTAAAGAAAAGGAAGTTAGCCTATATCAATCTACCATTTATTAACCAGCAAATTCACTAAAGCTTTATATATTTTTCATTGAACCATTTTATCAATCACATGAAATAAATATTGCTATTTCTGTTTTGTGTAACTGCACAGAAACACAGTCTCTAGATGAGAACAACTTGCCTAAAGATAAAAGGAAATAGAGAAGTAAAAATATAAACACTTAACTGACTAATCTCCCACATTATTTCTCCCCAACTGCTCTATCAAATAGAAATCTTTGAACATTTTTAAAGCATTTATGTGTATAGGTTCTCTGAAAAAGTAAGCAATGAACCATTTATTGATCAAAAGACATTAATTTGGAGCTGATATATTTCTTTTTATATAGATACCATTTTCATAAAATTGTTCACTAATTTCAGTTGAAGTTTTGACGAAGTGACTAGATTAATAGTTTAATTTATTTATCTTTCCTTAATTTAAACGATAATTTTTCAGACTTGTTTAATTTAATTGTTATAAACTAAAATACTTTGTGCAAGGCATCATGTCTCAATGTTTATTACAGTATTATTTTCTAAATTGCAGTTTTTTTAAATTCTTGCCATGTCAAATATCACATGCCATCTGTCAGTGATAGGTGAAAATACAGAGATGTGATTAAAGCTGTACTGTGTGGACAAATTTTTTTCTGTTTAAATGTGCAACATTTTATTTTTAGAGGGAATTCATAATCTATTTCTTTCAGCATTCTCCTTTGAAAGGCAATTTATCATGTTTGATCTACATTGTTCATTATTTAAGATTTTTTGCTAGTATTGTTTTGACACCTAATGCAAGAATCTTACAAAACCGAAAACAGTTTTACTGTATCTCATTCTAATTTAATCTCATGTTGTCACTTTTCATCTTGCATGGAGTACTTTTCACTGGTGGCTTTAAATATAACAGAGATAAAAATAAAATTTTATTACAATAATACCATATTTTTGAGTCTTAAAATAATAGACAACTAGAGATTGATTAAATGCATTTTTAATCTATCATACCCAGAGTATAAGCATTATAATGCATAGTTGTGTTGTTATTGAAGGAAGTTCGGCTTAATAGAAAGTGCATTTCCAACATCAGAGACATAATTATCTATTTATGTATGAAGAGAAAGATACAGATCATTACAGGTATATTGTTGCTCTATAAAAATCTTAATTTTTGAAATCTTTTACAAAATAGAATTGGTATTTACTCCCTATAAGAAATTTATCACTCTTGCTTCTATAATTTAGATTCTGGAACTTTACATCATTAAATTTGGTGTATGACAATTTGAGTTGAAAAGCAGGAAATTTCTAAAAATATTCTTTTTTTTTTAATGCCTGTTAAAAATTAAGGCATAAATTGCATACTATAACATATGCTTATCTCAAGTATCATATTTTGATAATTTGGTTAAATGTGAATCTTTTATAACCCACAACCCTATAAAATACAAAATATTCATCACCATAGAGTCAACTTTCTCCCAAATCCTTTAACCATTATAATGAATTCTCAATGAGAATGTAAAGAAGTGGAAATACAACTAGAAACACTGTTGGACTATACAGTTAATAATATTACCTAACCTTAACTCTGCAAACCATTATTTCTACTTTTATCCTTTGTCAGTGGCTTGAGGAATGGTGTAACATGGAAATACAACTAACATTCTGTAATATTTGTTTTAAAATGTTCTGATTAATGGGAGATGATATCCACATTTTTTTCTTCTTTGATTATATGGTTGGATGTTTGTATAGAGATAATTATTCAAATTTTCTATTAATTTCCTATGATACAGGTTGGATTTAAAACAGGTATTGAATATTATTTAATTTTCATCTCAATCTTGCAATGGACTTCCTTATTGTTCATCCTTATTATATGTGATAGGTGGACCCTATTTTGCAACTTTTATATTTTTTTTGCAAATAATACTTAAAATACATATAAAACCATAAATATAGTATTTTAAAAATGAATGAAGCAAGTGACTAAGCATTCAATGGTAAAAATCCAGTCTCATTTCCAGTCACAGTAATTGAATTCTCTTTCTTTTTCCATCTCTAATAAAAATTTTATTCCTCATAATTTTGATGGGTCCCTTGAGATTTAATAGAGTTGTTATTTTCGATTCAGTTGTGTCTGAGAAACATTATAATGTATTGCCATTTGATGTTTAACACCTATATCACATATTAATGTAAACTATATGTGTAGCCTCAAGAGTATGTTTATAATTATGCAAGAGCATAATTATAAATAAAATATTTCACACATAGCTACAGAACTATTTTTTTCATTTTAGGAAATAAAAGTCTAAAAGAGTAATGCTATATGCCCTTTATCCTTTTAAACATTGGAACTAATGATTTTAAAATGGAGCCAAATTAGTTATGAAAATATTATCAGCCACTTGTAGTTTAGACAAGCTTTAATAGTATGGTTAAATAATAACAATTCATTCTTAGACTTAATCGTTCAATATATTATTGATACAACATTTTTATTTAGCCAAATTAGCAAATTTTTATTATAATTTCTTTCATTTATTCCCTGAAAAATATATTCCTTAGTTGGTAAGCATAAGTGTAAGAGACTCCCTACTTTCTTGACTCTCTTAGACCTTAAATGCCGTATTTGAGTTCTAAAGAGCAAGTGACAAAACCACAATACGATACAGTAAGGCAATGTTTTACTGAGAAGGTCAAAGTATCAAGTATACTCTCATTCACAGAATAAGAGAACCATTTCATGTGAGAAGAGAGTTGTTGGTAATACCTCCTTTCTTTGGGGGCATTATGTGCTGACACTTCAATTTGGTACCAGTCAACATATTTTACCGATTTAAAGACTGAATGGAGTGCTGTGGTAGATTATTCACTTTTCTTCATTCATTCTCCCCTCAAGCTTTTGAAATCTATCATGCAATAGGAATTTTCTAATGTCTTAACTTACCTCGGTTATCTGTCTTTGAGAAACTTTCTATGTAGAAGCTTGGGAACATTGTCAGCACACTTGAGCAGGTGTTGCAATGCAGATACAGAGATGCACAGTGGTGTAGCACTTGGAGAACTCAGACTATACTAGAGAAACCTCAGAAATGGAAATGATTATTAATATGAAGTGCTTATTAATATGAAATAATGACTGAGAGTTCACAATTTTGTGTTTTTTAGAAATAGGAAGGAACTTTAATTTATTAAATTTCCTTTCTCAAAAATAACAAACAACCTAATCTACTTAAGTAGCTGGTTAAAAAAAAAAAGGATAAAATAGCTCTCTTATTCAAGTTTCTCTGAATATTCTTAATCCCTATATAAAGTATATTCTTAACATACATATATGTAGGAATAAAATATCATAAGATTGCACTGATTTCTGTGAGTGCTTGACATATAAAGTATTGGAGAATATTTTCTCATTTTTTTCTTTCACTAGAAAGAGAAATAGGAAGCACATTAGGGCTCAAGTGATAAACTAGAAATACAGAAGTTAACACCTGCAAATATTTTCTTTGAAACTTTAGTGGGTTTTGGCAATTTTGATTACACTCATGAACTAGAAAAATCTCTTTTAGTCATCTCTTTTGAGAAATATTCTCCTTTGTGTAATTTCTTAGTTCTTTTTTTCTAGTTTTCAACTTTTCATATAATATGGACATTCCACATATTTGTTAATTTGCATTCCTGTATCAACCCTCTATCATGTACCCTAGTTCATGCATTCAATTTTATTACCATCTAGTTTTCATTTTGAAATAGTTTCAAACCTATAGAATTGTTGCAAAAACCACACAAAGAACACACTCAACCATTCTATCCCAGAAAACATACTTATTAGCATCTCTCTCCCTTTCTCTCTCTCCCTCCCTTCTGCTCCCTCTCTCTCCACATCTCTATTTCTCCTTTCTCCCTATACAATACAAACGCAGAAATAGTTTTGAAGGTAGAAGTTATATTATTTTGACTATTATGCTTTATTGTGCCTCTATATTACGTGCAGCACATAGTCTAAAAATCAAGAGAGTTTTCTAATCATTATGATGCATTAAGAAGCCAACATTATGATCCATTAAGAAGCCAACATCCAAAATCTCAATTAAAATTATACCTGCTGTCCAAAGTCTCTTTCTCTGTGTGCTAAGGGTCCTTATCAGGAAGACACATTTTACTTAGGGGACAGTTCTCATAAAACTACTTCATTCTGGATTACTTCTCTCTAGTTTTTCCCTGTCAATTTAAGTGCAGTCACAGTCCTCAAAAACAAGAGACTTGCCATTCTGTAGAATGACCCTCAACTTGTTTGTGTTCAGTTTTCTCATGACCAGACTTGGCAATACCCTCTTGACAGGAAGTCTGCAAAGTGATTTTCTCTCCTCAGTGCCTCACATTACATGTGTGACATAGAGACCACTGTTACCTCTAACCACTTTCACCCCTGCACATATAAATAAGTAAATTGTGCAGTATATTTAGTCTAAGTAAAATAAATAAATATTTTAGGAAATATTTAGGACATGGAGTTATATAAACATTACCACAATAATATATTTTAGGACATTTTTGTCACCCCTCCAAAAAAAAATTCACATTCCTTAGTAGTCACTCCTCATTTTGGATTTTTAGACAGTTTTAAAGTATTTTATATGTATGTATATTTTAATGGAGTATCATTTTCTTACACCCTTGTTAATTTTTTGATAGTATTGGACTTCTCCCCATAGTGTGTGTGTGGTTGTTTTATATATATATAAAATTACACAATATGTGTCTTTTGTGACTGATATATAACATTATTCTTTCTTATTTATGTTGTGGCATGTATCAGGAATTCATTTTTAATGGATAATTTTCAATTGTGTGGATAATACTTTATTGATTAATTCATCAGATTATGGACATTTGGATTGTTTCCAAATTTTAGCTATTATGTGTAAATCTGCTAAAAATTATTCAATTTTTGTATGTATTTTGATTTCTCTTGGAAATAGATGATAGGTAGGTAGATAGATATAGATATAAACAAATATGTAGAATCCCTGGAACATATGGTATCTCTGTTAGATATTTTGAGGAACTATTATATATTTTCAGAATGACTGTACTACCTTATATTCCCACATGCAGTTCATACTAATTTCAATTTCTCCACATCCTCACCAATCATCAAAATAAGTGGTTCTACACATTTTTTTCCCAGAAAAAAAATCTTAATGTTATATGCAAAAAAGGTAAATATGAGATTTACTATTATTGGTAATACGGTCTACACTCATACAAAATACAATAAAATGTATTAGTAAATTAAGGATATATTCATTTCATTCTATGACTTTATCTATATTCATTATCTAGCCAATATCTATCATTTATCTAGCTACATCAACTATTCTTGACTTGAAGTTTAAATTTATACTTATAGTACAACTGACTATTCTTATTTAATTGATGACAGGTAGAGCTCTCCAAGATATTTAGAATATACCTCCAAGACATGTAAATGGTTTATTTTATAAAGGTTAATAAATATCCTGCAGGATCACAAAAATCATGAAGGATAATCATGAAGATTATCCCAATTAGGGTTATCTTTATAAATAACCATTTTATAAAAGAAGCTTCTTTTCCTCAATATATGGCTTCTTAGTGAGCATTTTCATTTGCAAGATACATGCTTGTTAAAAGATTCTTATAACTGAATAATAATAAGAAAAAAATCAATAAAAAAGTAAGAGTTGAGCAGACACTTGTTAGGGAAGAAATAATCACATTTTATGTCAATCTTTTATGATAGCTAAAATGCCAACAAAATCAGAAGCTGCCAAAACTTAACAAGGTAGTTTCTCAACGCTATTTAAGTTGGTGAAGAGAATAGAGAGGGAATAAGAATGACCTATGGATAACACACTACTAAAAAAACAATTTTATGTCTGAATACAAGGGGAAAATATCAGGTAATTTATGCTTACAATTTGTCAAGCTTCCTATTCTGTGGAATTTGATGATGAGGATTATGTGAATCAAATAGTACACTCTTGGACTGTTATCCATGCAAGTCCCAAAATTGTTTTGGAAAAACCTTTTTTTTGTAGTTTAAGGAATTTCTTCTATATACTCTTTTCAGCAGAAGGCAGATTGTATAACTCTGAAATTCATTTCAAATGGGCAGTAATTTTTCCTATTATGACATATGGATGGAAATCAGATTTTACATATGAGTAATGGGAGTCCCTATTGCTAATGTATTTTGTATTTTCCTGTATATGAATATGTACTTATTTATCCCCTTAGCTTTAGGTATTCATATTGGTATAGTAGAATTGATTTGTGTTCTTTTTCCCCTTCCCCACAATAAATTTTATTGATTTCTTTGGAATAACTGAAACCTCAAAAGTAACACTTATGCATAAGCAATGCATTCCATCTTCCATCTCTACGAAAATGTAGAAATTTTAATGTTAGCATTAAGCTCTAGGACTTTCTTCAGGTTTAAATATATCCATCCTATAAAAGCAGGCTTTAATTCATAGCTTAGTTGTATTCCAAGACTTATTTATTCATTACTTATGAGAAACTTGAACCACATTTTCCCCATATGGACAAACATTAGCTTATAATAGTTTTCTAAACGAAATTTCCTTCTTCTATTAATCATCAGTAGATAAAAACTGCATTTGAAATTAAAAAGGGTTAAACAGAATAGCATTTTTCCTGGGCAACATAATCTGAAAGTCAGATTCAAATAACTTTGGTTAAATTGATTAAAAGCACATTCTTGTGTATGGAGTGACAGTTTTGATATATGATTCTTATTTGTTCACTATTGGTTATACCTGGCATGGACATTTGACTCAAAAGTCATTTTTCAGGACAGCCTATATAGATCAGATATAAAAGAGCCTGGAAATTATCTTTGTATTTAAAACAAGAAGAAGCTACAAATCAAAAACCTGTGACTGGTTTTTTGAAACACATCAGATAATTGGTATAGTTGGACAAACCACTATATTGAAATATTGAATGATAGATGCATCCAGAAAAACATATATCAATGAGATTTTGTTACCTACAGCAGAAGCTGCTAGAATCAATAAGATGACAGAACATATTTCACAAAATTGTTATAGGCTAAGTGAAGAATAGTGTAAAAGTAAGAGATTTCTGGGAGTTGAAACAGTGCTACAACAGTGCTATAGAGGGACAGAGGGCAGTGGCCGTTGGAGGACAGGTCACTATCTATGGGTTCTCATTCTTACGTACAATTGCAAGAATACTTAGGCTCAGGAACAACAATAATGGGGGTTAACAAATGGGGGGAAAGAGCTTCTAAGGCCATAAGTGGCTGGCTCTTTCACCCCAGAGTATCCACAGTGTCCAGAAGTCCCAAACGAAAGGCCACCCTGAGGGAGGGGGTGCTCTGGTGAACAAACATGGGGGGCCATCAAGGGTGGGGCTCTATAGCCAGCCCATCACCTGCTTAGCAGTGGACAGGAACTCCCTCTGCCACTGCCACTTTTAGAGTGACAGTGACTGGCTTCTGGAGCAGCAGAGCAGGAGAGTGCCACTGCTGTTGCCAGCTGCCTTTGACAGCTTCCAATGTCCACTCCTCCAGCGGTACTTTCTAGGGGCGGGAGGCTAGCTGTACCAACAAAGCCACAGCTCCTGCTGCTTATCTGGCCAGAAAGAGCCAGTCATGCAGAGCGGCCTGTGCCTTAGGGATCCAGTTTCAGGGTGACTCCTAAAATGCAGGATTTTATGGAATGAATTCCAGAAATTTCTCTTAGTAAATATCTGAGGTGTTCCTTCTTGGCCCTGTTCAGGGTAAGGGAGAGAGTAATAACCAGGGAAACCACACAAATCCTTCTTAATATCAAAATCCTAATCTTTAGAGATAAGGATTCTCCAGAGGGAAATTCTGAAATCTTACTGCAAGTGGGAAAAGGAATTTTTCCAGTGCCAGTTGTCTTAATTTTCTGAAGGAAAAAGAGTCAGCAGGAGAAAGGGTTTTGGAACATAGATCGGAGCACTGCTCTATGAGAGATCTGGGAGATGAAACTTTACCCTTGGAGGAGGTACAGTCATGCATTTCAGAAA